TTTTTAATTGGAGCTGAAAGGCTGGAAAACGAAGCCAGCTGAAAGATGCTCAGGGAGGGTGGGGAGGGAACGCAGCTGTGCCGAGCGACCTGGATGTGGGGCTCTGGCAAGGCACCACCAAAACCCAGAGAGCTACAAACCCTCTTCATATTGGCGCTGGCAAACGCCGTCCTGGCTTCTGCAGAGCTACAAATGGGACTCTCAAAGAGAAAAAAAGGCAGCGGCAATCAGCTGAAAGGGATGATTCATCACTGCTGTGTAATAAGGAGCTGCTGTCAGGACGCCGGGATGTCCTGGCTGGATGTTCTGCGGCCCTCTGGAATCGTTTGAGCGGAATTTGGGAAGGTCCCAACGCAAAGCTTAAAGCAAAACAAGCCCTGGGCACCCAAGGTGYGAGGGGCTGCCGGGTCTGGGTCGGTATTTTTGGTGTCTGCCCGCGCAGGCGCCCATTCCTGGATGGCAGCGGGGAGGCAGCGCCTGCGGGTGCCAGATTGGGAAGCCCAGCGCTTCTCCAGGGAAAAGCTGCCTCTGAMAAAACCCCTCCCCGATGTACACACACACGGGCAACGGCGGAGTCAAAAATAAAGCTCTGAACATTTCACAACTCCTGCCGGCTCCCGGAGCCGCTGCCATCCCACGCGGCGCTCGGCGSGCGCTCGCCGCTTCCAAGTTTCGCGGCGAGCTCTGCAAGTGGGAAGCAGCCTCCCCCGGGCAAGCCGCCGCCGCTCGCCTTGGCGCGGGCCACGCTAGCAAATGCCATTTTTCCTTTTTTTTTTTTTTTTTTTCCTTTTCCTGGGTGCAATCCTCCAGGAAAGGAGGATTTTAAGCGTGGCAGCGGCGCTAACGAGAGGGCTCGCCCGCGGAACAAATGACGCTCGCGTGGGTTTTGGTTWTTTTTTTGTCCCCTGCCCTGGGATGGATCTGGGTGCCCGTGGAGCAACCCCGAGCAGCATCCTCAGGTCGGTGCTGAAGAGATGACACACAACTCCCTCTTTACACAACATCCACTTATCTCAACAGTCTCCAGGGGAAAAACAAAACAAAACAAAACTCCAGCGCGCCCGCTCGTCTCCTGACAGACTCTGATCCTCGCGCTACAAACTCCACACGTAGGCGACGAYGCAGAGAGGATAAACCTCCAACCAAAATATGGTAATCTGGTTTTGAAGTCTCGTGGAAGGAACAAACAGGAGTGAATCAACAACAAGCCACTCCGTAAAGCGAACCAACGGAACGACGGCATATATTAACCCAGATCTGCTTAATTTCCAGAGTTTACTCCCCTTTCCTGAAATAGAGAGCTGGAGCCGGCAGCGGGAGGGGCAGGTGGAGGGGAACCTCGCAGGGGAAAGCCTTATTCCCTTGCTAAAGGGATCTTTGCCATTTTGTTTTATTTATTAATTTCGAATGCAAGCCTCCTTTCCCTTTCCTGCTGTTAGGGTCGTAACTGTTTCCCAGGCAGGCAGAGTAATGCACTCAGAGGCTGCTCTGGCGCGGAGCTAAGTGCCATCCCCTCTGACAGCAGGGCAGGAGGGAGGCTGCAATACCCTTAATGAGCTCCAAAGACCTCGCTCCTGTTAAAAGGAGGGATTTCCAGATGCAAGACTAATGTAAAACGCATTAACACTAATGGGGGGACGGGGTGTGTGTGTGGGGGGGGGAACTCCCAGCCCCCGGAGCCCCCGGAGGTTGTTCCCATGGTTTGTAGGATGCWCTTTGGCACGGGGCTTACCTGCGGACCGGGACCCATGGGGCCCATCCCTCGYGGAGGATTCATCCTTTGCATGGGGCCGCCCATGTTAGGGTGCCCTGTAGGGGAGGAAAGCAGGGGTGTTACGGCGGCACCGAAGCCACCCGGGGTCCCAAATTAACAGCTAATTAGAAACGCCAACACTCCACCCTCCTCTGCTGGGCTTACCTTGCTGTCGCGTGGGATCCATSGAATTGGGCAGCAATGGCTGTGTACCGGGAACGGCACCCGGGGGCTGGGAAAACAARGGAGAAAGAGTAAAAAAAATAAACCCTGCACCCCGCTGCATCCCACATCCCACTGCATCTTGCTGCATCCCAAATCCCACTGCTACACCCTCCACTTGTTTGCCCCATCCATCCTTCCACAAAGCCCCTCCAAACCCCAAACAAGGTGCCAGTGTTTCCCCCTCCCCACAGGCTGTGTGCTGTTGTATTTTAGGAAAACTGGGAAAACAGGGGCTGAGCAGGGCACAGGTAATAAGTCCAGCAGAGAAAGGGGACGAGCAGCATGGCAYCCTGGTGACACACAGCACCAGGGCCAAACCAGGCACAGATTTACCCGCTTGGAGGGGAAATGCTCCACGTGTGAAAGAGCAGGGCTGGGGGGAAGGAGGATGCTCCCCCTCCCCAAACTCACATTCCAGCCGGGCAATGCTGCTATTTAAGCTTCAAAGCCTACTCCAAACAGATAAAGGGGAAGAAAAATGCAGATACTGCCTGCCTGGGGGAAGCAAACTGTAAACAGTTTTGCTACGGCGCTGCCTTTTATTCGGATCCCAGCGCTGCAGCTCAGCACGGGCCCTGGGTGCCCAYGGCTGTGCCGAGGCACAATCAGCCCAATCCCAAATTTTTTGCAGGTTGGAAGCTGGCAGCAGGAGATAGATAAATCAGGAGGGTTGCAGAGGTGGATATTTACACTTCTGCTGCCTGACCTTCCTGCCTGCCTATTTATTCCTCTTGTCCCTCAGGATGTGACCATAACCTCGCGGACCTCTGCCTAGGTACAAATGTGTGTTTTATGTGTATTGTTTGGGGGAAAAATGAAATGCTTCTAATTAACTTCACCCACTGCTGGATGTTTGATCCTGCTGTGGGAACAGCCTCCCCAAACCAGTCCCCACTGCCTTTCCTGCCTGCCCAGCTCAGTGTGCCCACCTCTAACAAGGCATGGGATGAGCCCAGAACCACTGCAGAATAGGGACCTGCTAAAACTGACCCATGAGGAGGTGCAGGTAATTAATAGCTCATTAAAACAGCCATCAGTGCCCTGGGTGAATGGCTCTTCCAGCATGGGGATCCTCTGTCAGCCCCTGCTGGGTTTTTCTCAGCTCCATCTCAGCTGCCTCACCACCAGTTAGCAACTTCCAGAGATTCAAGTCTCAAATCCAGCAAGCACAAACCAAGAGCAGAGCTGGTACATCCCATTTCCTGACTATCCTGCTCTTTCTGCTAATTAGACCTAAGAAAAATAACGCTGATAGCCAAAAAACAAGYTCCCAAGGTGATTTTTTGCACAAGAATTACAGGTTTCCTTTAATTTCCCTTTAGTGGCAAAAAACCATGGATCTGCGTGGCATTGTTGGGAAGGGGATGAATTCCTGAACCAAYGGCCACGCATGCGTCCAGGCAGGGCGTGGGGTGGGACCCTCCCTCTGTAAGGCCAGAAACAAACTGCCCTCGTATAAGCTGGGATAAGAGGATAAACCCAACCCAAAAAATTCAGCGGTGACCTGCCCCGCTTGACCCCGCCGCTGATCTAAACGCTCGGTCAACCCAGCAGCGGCGGGATTATCTCCATCACTTTAATTTTCTGCGGTCGCGGGGAAAATCCGGGCGGGCAGCGAGCACGCAGTAAAGCACAGCCCTGCTGGGAGCACCATGGATGGAAAGGGGCATGTTCCCCACAGCTCTTCCCATCCTGGACAGGCCCAAACCTCAAAATAAAATTAAAACTATTGTCTTTAAGTGACACTGGATGCTCCAGYGCTTGGATAAATGAGGTGACCAAAGGAGGCAAGGCTTGCCACCCAAAACCATGGAGCATCTGCAGGACACCTGGYCCTCATCCCCCTTCCCAAGCAACATCTATCCCTAGGAAATCCAAAATCCCTGGAGCACAGTACCTGGTTGCCCATCCTGATGGGGGGCCGGGGACCTCCGGCGTAGCGCGGCGACATGAACGGCTGYGGGGACACAAAAAGGGGTCAGGGCTGAGCTGTGGGGAGGCAGCACACTCCCCACGCACGCTGGTTTGCCTGTACACACTGCTTTTGGTTATTTTTGCCTTTTTTTTTTTCTGGAGACATCCTTTTAAAAAAGTTATGTTTCAAAAGGGAAAAAAGAAAAAAAAAGAGAAAGGTGTCTGGAGTCCGTTTTTTAGACATTTTCTCTGTGGATTTATTGTTTGAGAGTGTGTTTGATATCGGCAATACTAGGTGAGGCTGTTAAAATTAGTGCATGGGAAACCCTGAGTGTTAGATAATGTTCAAATTTAAATATATAGAGATATATTAAAAAAAAAGTGGCAAATAAGCACATACAGACACGCACACACAAAAAAACCCAGTGCTAAGTACTGAAAAAAAAAAAAAAAAAAGAAGAAAGGCTTAAAGGTACTCTCTTTTAGAACTGCTGCTACTAACAGAAGCTTAAAAATCCACATCAAGTTAAATTTCTCAGGCTACCTTGGGAAGGTAAAACAGTCTGATACCCACGATTGACTTCTCTGTTCATTGACAACTGCATAGCCAAAAAAGAAAAAAAAGAGAAAGAAAAAAAAAAGAGAAAAAAAAAAGAGAAAAAAACCAGTATTTTTCTTCAGAGCTGGGGTGCCCGGGGGGATGCTCCCCGGGGAGCAGGTACCCGCTGCCCAGCATGCTTACAGAGGGGAAAAAAAGAAGTAAATCGAGCGCACGTCCCGGTTCACAGCCCTACCCATCACTAGTGTCTTTACCTGACTGTGGGGTCCCATCATGCTGTTAGGATTGTGGGGTGGAGGCTGTGCGTGTGGCGAGGGCTGTGACCCAGGCGGTCCCTGTGAGGTCAGACAGTAGAAGGAGGTTATAGATTAGCACATGAAAGCGCAGAAAGAGCTAAAAAAAGGATTCAYGGGTGGACCTGTTTAGTTGGGGAGTCAGTTCTCCCAGCTGTAAATCAATTTTTTTCTCCTTTTTTTAAATTTTTTTTAAATTGAGTTCCTATTCATTTGCAGCTAACAATGAATAATGATATATGAAAAAAAAATAGATATATTCAAAATCAGAACATCTGTCAAAATACAGTGGCCACATTGAAGGTAAATGGTCCAGTGGTTCAACCAAGTCTGCAATGATAAACACACAGAGAAACACTTCGCAGGGGCGTGCACGAGGAAAAAAAAAAAATATGCAGGAGAGGATCAGAGAGGTTGGGGGGAAATACAAAAAAAACATCCCCAAACCAGAAAAAAGAAAAAAAGGAAAGAAAAAAAATTTTCCTCTCTCATTCCAAATATTGGAAACACCTCCGGGTTTGTGTTTTGACTGTGGTTCACTGGAGGTGCTGGAGTGAGCATGAGGACGAGGGGCACGTCCCAGCTCACATTTGGGCAGCGTTTGGCCGGCATAACCGGGGCTGCACCGCCACACYGAAGGGATGCAACATCATCCTTCCTCCAGGTGGATTCCCTAAGGATGCCAGCAAAATGGCTTGCGAGCAAAGAAAGGATGTCTAAGGGAAAAAAGGAGAGATTAGCTGGTGCAGGTTTAAGGCTGCAATGCAGCAGTCGCTGACATTTTGGGCTTGAACGCCCACTTCAAATTTTTTTTTTTCATTTTTTTAAATTTCCCTTAAAAAAGCACGAAATGAAAATTTGCTTGGAAAAACCGCGAGCACGGTGCGAGAAATATACCGGTGCGTGTTAACGTGAGGAAAGAAAAAAAAAAAAAAAGGTATTTTTTGAGTCAAAAGAGGTGTAATTGGTAGAGAAAGCACAGGAGCTCTGTCAGTAGGTGATGGGAAGCGACGGCAGGCTCCAGGACCGGCGCCGGAGCAGATGTTCTCTACCTGCCTCGTTACTAATTTCAACAAGTGTTCGCCTTCTAGCTGCTGCCAGCAATGGCATGGTTTGTTACCATGAGCAATTTTCTTAATTAACAGACATTAATTAGCCATTTAGCAATTTTGCAAGCATTTGTTTAGCAGCTTTCCTAAACATGAATACCACTGTGATAATGGTACTGATTAGAGGGTCCCCTAATTAACAGTACAGGGAAGGGAAAATTGAAATCACATAAATTAAAAAGGGAGGGGAAGTTAATGAAGGCAGGACATATTTGCACCTGCAAATCTTTTGTACAGCGGAAACTTGAGTGCAATGTAAATAAAGTAAGAGGGTGGGTTTTTTCTTCTTCTTTTTTTTTTTTTTTAAATTTTTTTTTTTAAATTTGAACAGTTCGGCGGTGAGATGGAGCCAAGCGGATTTAAACCAACAGTTTTTTTTTTTTTTTTTTAAATTTTTTTTTTTAAATTTGAACAGTTCGGCGGTGAGATGGAGCCAAGCGGATTTAAACCAACAGCCTCCTGCCAGCCACCGAAATCCCACCACTTACACCACCACTTATTCTCCAGGAGCCAAAAGCAAACAGCCCCTGCCCTCTGTGCCTGGAAGAGGTCACAGCACCTCAGGACAACCCTCCCATCGCCTTCTCCATTCCTGTCCCACCAGAGTGGAGAAGACAAACCTCTCAGGTCCAACTGTAGCATCAACCTCCTTTAGCAGAAGTCCTCTCCAGGCATGTTAGTTGACTTATTTTTGCTTCTGAGCTGCTAACTCTGTGAATGCAAAGCGCAGCAGGGGCAGCAGACACCTCCCACTATCCCCCAGTGAGGTCTGGCCACCCCCAAAGCCCTTCCTACACGTCTCAGCTGCAGGATTTGGGGTAGGGAGGATCAGAAGAGGTAAATGAGTGATGAAACCAAGTGGAAGATAAAAACCAGGGCTGGCAAAGGCTGAAGCTCAAGCCCCATCAAAGCAAGACTTAGTGACAACCGTGATGCCCGCCTTGTGCTGCAAGAGGGGGTCACTGCTGTCCAGGAGCTGATGTCCTTGTGTCATATCCCACAGCAGGAGAGGGTGTGGGATCAAACACACGGGGACACGGCCACCTGAAGGCACCCCTGGCTGAGTCCAAAGGTGATGCTCCGGGTCTGCATTTCGAGCTGCAGCCCAAACAGTGTTTGATTATTGGAGAAAAAGCATCTGTGAGACACGGCAGCATTTCCACCAGAGCAAAATCCCCTGCGGCAGCCGGACCCAGAGAGCTCCTGCAGTTTGTACTGCTGAGTGCATCCCCCGGAGCGTGGTCCTGCCCCGACACTGTGGCTGCTCCCGGGCTGCTCCAGGCAGCATCCCTGCCCTTGCATTATCCCATGAGGTGCCATCCCACAGGAGACTCCAGGATGAGGCGACGCCCAGCTGGTGAAAACGTTTTGGCAGGCAGGGAGGAGCTGAGTGCAGCTTTCTTAATTTTCCTTCTTTTTCCGAGCAGCAGCAGCATCCAAAACCGCTCGCTCCGAGCTGCGACCCCCTCGGCACGGCCGCCCTGCTCCATCAGCCCCTCTGGACAGGGCTGTCTCCATGAAGATTTGCAGATGTTCCAGGGCTGGGAGCCATGCTGGGCTGGGAGCGGCCGCCCTTCTGCATGGGATCGCAGAGCAAGCCGCAGACGATCCCGACGGATCGCGGCACTTGAGGCGAGTGTTTTGCAGGGACAACATGTGGGCTCCAATCAACACAACAACCCTTTTTTCTCAAAAAACCCCGTGTTTAGCAGTTATTAACTGCTCCTGTTAGAAGAGGARGCTGAACACATGCTGTCCTGCTTCCTCCACATCCCTCCATCCAGCCCTGGAGTCGCATCCCTGCGGCTCAGCTCCTTCCGACGTGCCACACTGGGCGAGCAGGACCTGCTCTGCAGCTGCTTCACTCTCATCTCCACACCAGCACTCTTCCCAACCAGAGAAACCCCATCATCTCTCAAGTTTTCCTTTTTATTCCCCTCAAACTGGGCACTCTGTGCGGGGTGTTATTCTTCATCTTCYTGTAGCTGCCTCAAAGAAACCCAAAACAACCCCAACAGCTAAAAAGACATCAGAGGAAACTGTTTCCAACAGCTTTTGGTGCCCCAACCYCTGCTCTGCTTCATTTTTTTTCTCCCCTCTACACCCCAGGGACTTTAAATGCCCAACGTGGCCCACCGGCCAGCCCAAGTTTGCTGCCACAGCTGCTTCCTACAGGGAGTTTCCAGGAGATCAGGTTATTTCCACTCTGTCTTTCATGAGCTCGACTCCTCAAACTTCTTGTAAAATATTAAAGATGGAAAATGGCACGAGCGATCATAGCTCTGCGTGTGTCAATTTATGTTTCCAGCGTAATTCACCACAAATGGATCATGTTTTATGGGCTGCATACTTTCAGCTAATGGGGGAGTTTTGCTATTTAAAAACATTTTCGAGCACCTCTGGGGGTGGCAGAACGAGGCAGGATGGTACGAGAAGGCAAAGCATCACTGCCACGAGACACCGACGGTTTCGAGTTAGCAATAGGGAGGCATCTTGTGTTTAAAACACCTGCCCCTGCCTGCCGGTTTTGACGTTAGAAAATACTAAAATAAATTAGATGGGTATTAATTAAAGCCATGCCTGGGTTTATTGGAGAGGAGCTTCGTTTCTACTGAAGGAGAGAGATGTTTTTTGCAAGTCGCCGAGAAAAAAAAAAAAAAACAAGCTGTCTCCGAGGGAGCTTTCAAGGAGAGATGCTTTCAAAGAGAAAAACCCGGGTCGACTTCCAGCATGTGGTGTGGGTGAGGACCTTCCCCAGAGAGGGCAAGGCGAGGCCAGGAGAGGTTAGACAAGGCAAGGCAAGGCAAAGCGAGGCAAGGCAAGGCAAAGCAAGGCGAGGTTAGGCAAGGCAAGGCAAGGCAGCGAGGCGAAGCGGGCTGAGTTCCCCCGCAGACAGAGAAAGGCAGCCGTGGGCAGGAGCTCTGCCTCGCCTGCAGCTGGGGCTCCCAACTGCAGAAGCCTGGTTTTAAGGAATATGTTTAACACAAGCTCTTCAGGAAACAAACCCGTGTCAGCCGGAGCCAAGAACAGTCACCTCCATCTGGCTGGAGCACCCGAGAGAAAGTTGACTGCAAATCCCACCATATGCTCCAGACGCTCGGTACAAAAGCCTCGGGCATCCTACTAAACTTCCAGAAAAAAAAAACCAACTTTCTCTGACGCTCGCTTTTCCTTTCCTCCAGCTCGTAGGCTATCTTCTTTCAAACCCTGCAGGCTGCTAGCAAGTTCTACCCCAGGATTTTGGGATGGGCAGCCTGGTTTCATGGCTCTCATGCTGCTTCACCAGAACTGGCTGACCACAGCTGGTGGCACCCACAGACACACTGTGACATCAGGACAACTGGGCAGGGGGAAAATGGTGGCATCCAASGAGGGAGCAGGACAACATGGACCCTTTCCTATTGTCCCTGGCTTTACCATCCTCACCCCGTGGGCGACCTCACCCCAAGAGGGACATCTCCAGGATGCGGGGAGGAGAGGCAGGGAGGGCAGGGGATGCGGGGAGGGAGCCCCCCRGGCTCTGGAGCCCCCGGTGCTCCCCAGCTCCCGAGGTCTGTCTGCATTAGGGGGCAGTGTGGGAACACGGAGCAGCCGGCGCTTTGTTTTGGTGCATCTCGGCGCCGAGCCRCTGATGCATGGCTAACGCAGCGCCGACATTGATTTATGGTCAACTTTCCATTTCATCAGCGCGGGGTTCGGGGCGGCGCGGGGACTCCGTGCTGGGGAGAGCAGGCGTGGCTGGGGGTGCTGCTGACTCGGCCCTCCCTGTTTATTTAGCAGTAAAAAGGTGTGGTATTAATTGCTTTCATTCTTCGTTTTCCTTCTTATATTCCCCTGTCCCTCCTGCGAGGGATCTGCACCCCGGCATCAATCCAGCTTTCAAAACAAAAGCAGGAACGCCTCTGATGACCTTTAGGAGGATGAGCAGAGGGTTTGTTTGCTCATCTCCACGGGACAAAGGGAGAGATTTAAATAAAAGCATCTACCCATGCCGGCCGTCAACCCCGCCACCTTTTGTCCGGAGCGCAGCCCGTGCTGTGCTGCTGGCTGGCACCACGAAATGCCCAGAAACCCAGGAGTGCCATGGGTCTCTCCTTTCCCATCATTTTGGGAGATTGTGCAGCCTGCACTTCCCTTGGCCCCTGGCCCAAAGGTCGGTGCTGAGTGCGGGCACTGGGAAGGGAATCTCACTGCAAGGCAGTGGCTGTGGATGGGCGCTGCAGCCTGGAGCCCTCCTTGTTTCCTCCTCTCCTGGAGCATTCCTTCTCCTCCAAGCTCACTCACGTGAGTTTTTGGGCTAAAAAGTCCCAGGAATGGTCCATACAATTTTTTCCCTTTGCCAAGCTGAGGTGGACATTCCCATGTGCAGGGCTGGGGGGGTTCATGCACCCCCAGGGTGGCAGTGTGGGGTTTCTGCTACCTGAGCTTTGCTGGTGATTCATTCCTCAGCTCCCTGTGTGATGCCCCACCATGTCTGGACATGATCAGGCTCTAAATCCTCTCAAAAACTATCTGCCCATGCCTGCTACCCTTGGGATATGCCCTGCAGGTCCCTGGTGCAGAAGAGCGAGATGCTGAAAGCCCCTGAGCCCTCTCCAGCAGTCTCCTGGCATGAGGACGACACTGGCTGAGGTGGTACCACCTCACTCACTCCCATGGCTGGCACACCAAGGGYTGGGGAGAACTCCTTTCTATCTTCTGTGACCTTTTTGTTTTTGCCCTCTGAATTCAGGCACTTCCATCTCCTAGGGATAGGAAATCAGCACCGAGCTGTGAGTGGCTTGACACCGAACCTCCAGCCCACCTCTGCAAGAAGCTGGAATGATCTCCAGCACCCGCAATAAATCAGACAGGCTTTCATGGAGGCCATGTTCAGACTGTGTTAAAAGGTGGGATTTTTCTTCTGCTTTCCATCCCCAGGGCTGGGAGGAGAAACCAGATGTTGGAGGGCTTTCAGGAAAGGCAGGCTCTTGAGATGTCACATGTGAGCCATATGCACCGGCACCCATCCTTCTCTTCCCTCCGGCGGCGCTGGGGATGGGCAGCTCCCCGCACACATCACCTGTGCCTGTGTTATTACTCTGTCTGTGGTTTAGGATTCCCTTCCCCAGCAGCTCCTGGGCTGGCTGCACACGAGGCACAGAGCTAGGATGGGGTTGTTTGCTCCAAAATCAGCCCCTCGGTGCAAAATGCTACAGGAGGGCAGAAAGGAAAGAGAARGGACAGCTTGGAGGCTGTCAACGGGAAGAGTCAAGACGGCAGCATGAACAGTAAGTCTGGAGAGATGCGCCTCCTCTTCCTCACCTCTCCCGCTCTGGGAAAGCCAACCCATCCTCTTGATGCCTTGCYCTAAATTCATGCCAGTTTTGCAGCCCTCGCAGCTCGGCGCGAAGCAGAAGCCCCAAAGGACAGTCAGCTTCACCGCGGGGCGAGATCAGGACGTTTGGAGACACATTTGTTGGAAGCAGCAGCCTGGCACTGGGATTGCTGGCAGCAGCTCTGACCTGCGAGATTGCATCTCCGCCTTTGGCTTCACCCCCTGCTGCCAAGCACTGCCATGGGATTCGCCTGTTTTAGGGTTCCCGATCGATATCGGATGTTCTGACTTTGTCAGAAGCATGTTCAGGAAATGGGATCTCTCTTTCTCGTGAAAAAAAAAAAAAAAAAAGGCAGGACCTTCCTTCCCCCTCCCCACACAAACGCGATCACCGATATCGGGCTCAGATATCGCCACAATAAATCACAAGCTCCTTATCGAGCTCGCCTGTCTACTGCCCGAGAAGTTCTCCCATATACAAATCACAAGCCCAGATTAAAAAAAGSCCAGCTTGCCAAAACAAATATTCCTTTCAACTCTTATCCCATTTTTTACACGAACAAGTGTTTCGTCCTCGAGCAGGAAGATTTTAAAGCACCGAAAGCTTATGTTGCTGCAAACCAATGCAGCTCACCCCGGCAAAGAGATTCCTGAGCAAACCCCCAAGGTTTGAGGTTTGAAAACTCCTTTTCTGTGTGCTTCTTGATATCCTTTCTGCCACCATCACTCTGAACATGTTACCCCCTTCCTTTCTCAGAGCTTGGTGTGGGATAAAGGAGCAGYGAGGGGACTTTGGGGACTTTGCTGGGTATTTGCTTACAAGGTGCCTCCACGGCATTCAGGGATTTGGCTGGAGCCCACTCCYGCCTGCAGCCGCAGCCAGGGTTTGTTAATGTGTTCAGTGATTGCATTTGGAAAAAATCAAGTGGTTAACCAGAGGAGGGGGAAAAAGTTTCAGGAATCAAAATCCAGAATGTTTTCAATTAMGCACGTCTGTTAGGACTGGAGAACAAATACAATCCCAACCCAAACACAAACCGAGCAGCTTTGGAAAAAAACATTGGTTGTAAACACACAGTAACCTCTTCAAGCAGGAAAGGAATTTGCTTTAAGGCCACAAAAGAAAGCAAACGTGGAAGGACAGCAGAACACAAGTTTTTCCTAGACAAGTCAGCTATGCGGGCATGCTGCTTCCCTAGCATCCTCTTGGGAAGAAAAAAAACAAAAACCACAGGCACGACAGCGCTGACACCCAGAGCGAAAGCAAACACGTGCGTGGTGTGGAGGGAGCAGCGGGAGGAGCGGCAGCCTACCTGGAAGAATCCGGGTGGGATGGGRCCCCCGGGCATCCCGTCATTCGGGGGAATGTTTCCAAGCACGGGACTCGGGGCGGCAGCTGCGCTCTGCGGGGAACAAAACCGGGGCAAACACGGTCAGGGTTATGACACAAGGACRTTAAAAAAGCCACCTCTCCTGCCACATCACACTGAGTCGATGTGCCTTGTCCCTCCCGAGCCCTGGGCATCTTTCCCCGTGGAGGAACCGGCAGAGGATGCTTGCAGCTGGAGGGGCACCGGCCTCTGTGATTCACCCACGGAGGAGAGAGCCACACAAACCCTGTAGAGGATTTTGGGGTTTGTTTATTCATTTACCCAGGCACCAAGTCTTGTTAATACACCAAGGATCTTCATGCAACAGTGTCATTTTAGGGAGCTAGTGTTTTAAAGCTTTTGAAGTGCTTCTCTCCCACCTCCCCACCATGCTGGCTGGTTTAGCCCTGTCCCTCCAAAATTATGCTTCCCTGACCTCACCARCACACCAAGGCTTTATTGCTCATTTCCAAATTCACTGCACTCAACCTGTGGAGTCACAGTCCCCCTCRTGCCTCCCCAGAACGAGCCACCAGCACAGCTCCAGCCCCAAAAACGAGGGATGGAGACAGACATGGGGTACGTGGACACCCCACTCRCTCCTGCTCACCATCCCTATTTGTGTTTATTCACTTCCTCTGGGAAAGTACCAGAATGATGGGAAGTTCCTACTCTGAAGGAAAACACAAAAAAAAGATCTTTCCCTAAAATCCACTGCTGGTGACACATCCCAGTGGGGTCAGGAGCAGCACCCATGCCATCCAAGTGCACCCCAGTTTACCCACCACCAARTGAGCCCCATTCCCAGAGCAGTCACAAAGGCACCTCAGCGATGGAAATTGGGTTTGGATCACTGAACTACTCCCTCCACCAATTTTTATGATGGAAGTGCCCCCCTAAAACCATAGTGGAAAATTTTTCCACTGAGGAAATCCCACGAACAGATGGGGTACATGTGAGCCTGGCTGGTTTTACCCTACAAACCCCAAGTCCCAACAGCAGCCGAGACAGCCCCGGCTCCCGACCACATCCGATGCAGYGACAACCACAAGATGTGAGCAGAAAGGGGAAGCCAAGCTGTCAGGGCAGCCTGCAAAATTAAGGATTATTACTAAGGATTGAGGATTGCCAAGGTAGGATGTTCACGTTTGCTTTGGAATCTCGCTATTCCTGAGCAGAAAGCCTTGCAGAGGCAAGGGAACATCAGACTGATCTCTGCCCTGTGCCTTCCCAGGGCATCCCTTGTGCCCTCACCACGAGCTGGCATGCAGGACGTGTGCAGGACGTGGGAGGAAGGCCAGGACCACGCCAGWTTAGTGGCTGCTTTTCCCACCCCAGCATCTCAGAGCTGCAAGAGTCACAGACAACAGCGGAGGCTGATTTCCCAGCCAGAGCCTCCCTTCATGAAATAATCAGTTCTCCCTGAGGCTACGGGGTCCTGCACCCCCAGGCACAGCCCACGCCACGCTCCCCCCATGCCCCTGGATGARGCATCCCAAGCAGCCTTCCCCCCATCAGCAGCAAAGGCCAGATCTGAGTGTTTTTACAGTTAATAAAAAAAAAAAAATACAGTCCTGGCAGGAAAAATAAGCCTGCCCATTCCAGGCTCTTTTTATACATCAGACGGCAGCAAAAATAGATGGGAGAGGGAGTGAACCCACTTCTCCCCCTCCCTCCATCCCCCCAAGTGGGTCAGCTATAAAAGTAAAACCAAATCTTAATCCAAGGCCATGAACATATTGCAGTTTCTCTGCAAAGCAGATGACGGTTCTTAATGCAAAAATATATAAGACCGAGCCCCAAACTGCAGTGAGCCCATTTGGAATTTCCTTTATTAAACCCTCTATCACGCAAAACGCTTCTCTCCCAAGGCGGCAAGCGCTGCAATAAAGCTGCCAAGGTGATATTTTATGGTTTCAAGAGATTTCCAGCAACGCTATAATCCTTTGCTTGGGGAATCTCCCAAAGCGAAATGGATCCCAAAGAGGTGGGGAGCGAGGAGGGGCACGGATTTGGGGATCCGGGGGGAAAGGACGCTGCTCTMCTCCTCAGCAAGCACAGGGAGAAGGGCAGAGGAGCCAAGGAAAATCTTGAAGCAAATGCCCATTTTCCCACAAAACCACAGAGTATTTTTCCGTGTTAAACACCCTGAAACCTCACCTATGCCTTCRCGGCGTAAACGGGGATTTAAAGTTCCTCGCACATGTGGCGCTTGGCAGAACTCGGTAATTAAAAACCCGCAAGTGCCCTGAGCATATTGTAGGATGGGAGCCAAATTGGTCAGCCCTTGATGAATGATTTACAAGGCTGCGAAGTGACATTTTATTTCTTTTTTTTTATTCCCCTCCCCATCACCGCTGCTAAGGTAAACACCGAGGCACCTTTAGCCCTGGCGAAGCGACGGGAGCGCAGCCGTGGCTGGAGCAGCTCTGTAAAACACTTGGGGAGTGCCAGAAATGAAAGAAAAAAGGGGAAAAAAAGACAGCAGGAACWACTTTTCCAAACTTCAAGGCTGAGCACTCAAACCCCAAGGGTCAGCACCTAAACCCAAGGGCTTTCCAGCACCCATTTCCAGGACTTTTTTGGCCATGCAGCTCCTCCTACATTTTGGTTCATTTTCACCATTTTGTCCCAGAAACTCATTTAAGGGATTCTTGGTTGCAGTTTGSTTTCCAAGGCCCTTTCCTTAGGTGAGTATCTAAAAGCCACCGAGTCTCTCTGCCACAGGTACAATGTGCAGCTTCCACAGACGCTGGCAGAAAAAGGGCATGGAACTGCTGTGCCACCACGTCCAAGCTGGTGCTGAACCAGAAGCACATCCAGCCACACCAACAACCCCACTGGCACGTGACACCCTGAATTTCCTTCCACCAAAACCCATAAAAACCACTGCCAGAAACAAGCCAGGCCAGCTCTGGCAACGCCRGCATTGCCAGCTCGTTTGCCTTTTACAAGATGGCAAATTTTCTCCACGTTGGAAATCAATATATATGTGTTCCTGGGGCACACATGTATAGCTATATACACAAACACACATATGTATTTTTAATTCCCTGCCACATACGTTGGTATTTTTCCTCTTTTTTTTTTGGTGGAAGCCAGCGGAATGATGACAATCTGGATCGCCGTGTTTCGCTTCCAAACCCAAGCTCTCAGTTAACACACCRGCCTGGTACGCCAGCAGATGCCGTSTAAGCCTTTAAATCGCACACTAATTGCACTAATTGAGCTAACAGTCTCTGTTTCGTCTCCCTACCCTGAGTCAACCAGCATCTTCTGGTACTGCTGTAGAGATCCAAGCTGTTGACTGTAGTGTTATTTTGTCAGCCATTAAACRATTCATCAGAGTCATTAATTGATTTATTACCGCTGCCTGCGAGTATAGCTTTGCAAATAAAGAAGGATGGAGGTCAGGAGGCAATGGAAATCGGACAAAACAGCACAGCCAGGAGCTGGCCACTTGAACTATCGATAGGAACCCGCTTGTTCAGGGCTGCTGGCATCGGGTTATGGAGGAAAAAATGGAAAAGAGGAAAAGGATGCGCTGTTCGGCTGTGCTGCAAAGCTGGTTAGGTTCTTCAGCTACAATCTATGCAGAATGCAAAAGGGCYATTAAAACCATCTTGTTTTCTTAACCTAATCCTTCAGGAGTAACCAGGTTATTCTGCTGCATGAACTGAAGAGCAGCAGGGAGAGGCATCGGYGTGGCTGCCCCAAGCAGCTCCCGGCCCTGGCGCATCCCCGCCAGCATTTTGGTGTCACCCAAATTCTTCTTTCCCAGGCCGGCTGAGCTGGGAACACAACTCACCTCGGCTGTCCCACAGCCCTGGGAGGAGCTGCAGGCCGGTGCTTTTATTTATTTACTTTCTTTACTGCAGGGTTTAGGTCTTTGCTGGGCGTGAGGGTTTGCTGCGAGCAGGGTGCGGCGAGCCGTTTCCTGCCCCCCGCCCTGCCGCACGCTCGGCCCCGGAGCGGCTGGGAGGCACCGCAGGGTTTTGGGGGCTGAATTTAGAAACCAGAGCAGGTGGGTTGAAATCATCATCACGACGCTGCTGCTCCCAGCCCCCAGCTCCAGGGCTGCCCCGTAACAAAAGGCAGCACCCTAAGAGAGAAGGTGTGGGAAGCTGGGGAAGGTTTCGGGGTGCGCTGTCCACCCATGGGGCTGCTGCAAGGGGTTTTTCCYCCTCATCCCCATTGCTGGACCTTGAAGAGCACCTTGTAGGTGGGCTGAGGCACTGCACCCCATCCTGCAAGGCTCTCAGGGACACTGGTGAGGGTACCAGATGAGTCCCAGCTCACCACCCACCCAAAGCTGCCAATCTTCACCAACACCAGCAATGCTTTCAGTCAACCAGCTATGAAAACCAGGCTCCAACTGGTGGCAGTGACTGTGCCATTAAATGCAAGCTGGTGGCCCCACTGCACACTCTGGGTGAGCAGCTTGCCACAGCATCCCATGCTGGTTTTCACCAAGCATTTATTTTTAATAAAAATAACCTCCCAACAGCAGTGCAAGGTGCTGGCAGGCAGCAGAGAGGATGTTCCACTCGTGGGAAGCATCACCAGCACTGGCTGCTCGGCCAGCCACGGCCTCCATCAACCTGACAGCAAGATGGGGAGAGCACAAACATCTTCACAGCACAGACCTAAAGCCAAACTAAGGATGGCTGGGTATTTGATTTTGGAGCTCCAGCTGGTTTTGCCCTCTCTCTCCTCTCCAGAAGTGGACCAGAGGATTTTGGCTGCCATCTCACACCTTGCAGTCACTGTGGGAACAGGATATGATTTGAGGGCAGCTGCCTCTGGTAGGAGCATGCAGGGGTGCTCAGGACATGCTGGTGATCTGGTATCTATCTGTCTCCTTTGATTTTATTTTTTTGCCTAGAGCACAGGCTTTGGAGCCTAAAGAAGAAACCAGCGTGCGGGTCAGGACTTAAGCAGGCTGCGTAAACAGGTAATACGGAATTTAATTGGACTYCAGTTAAGCCTTTTCATCTCGTTAAAGCTGCCTTCATCTTATATAGCCAGGTTTT